GCAGCACACCCTCCGACAGCTGCCCTGTCTCCTTCCAGAGAGACCCAGCCCATCTTGGCCACGGTCCATCTATGGTGGCAGAACTGGTGGTGGTGAGTCCTGACAACAGGATGGACGGCCTTTCCGCAGGAGCTAGGACATCACTGAAATGCAATATTCCTGTGGACATTTGCAAGCGAGCTCCACATCCTCGCACGCCACAGGGGAGGGCCCTCAGGAGCCCTGGGGTTCCGAGGCCTGGAATCCAGCGATTCTCTCTCAGTTTAGTTACTAGCAAGCCTTCAGAGGGTGAAGCGACATGTTGCCTTGGCCCCTGCGTGACTACAGAAGCAGAGATTGCAGTGAGGCAGCTGCAGCCCAGGAGTGCCGGCAGCCACCTGAGGTCAGGAGAGCCGAGGGCCAGTGCTCCCCAAGAGCCTCCAGGAGTGCAGCTCTCCCGAAATACCTCAGTTTTAGCTCCGTGAAAGTGTTTTGAACTCAGGCCATCTCTACTGCATGATGAATTGTGTTAAACCACCAAGTTGGTGATCATTTGTTACAGCAGCCACAGAAAGAAGACCGATGCTCACCCGGTCCGAGTCCTGTAACACATGCTTCCCATGGATTCCATAATCGTTGGTATGACTGAGATTGTAGCTTCCCGTATCCCCATTACTTATTCTAAGAAAACATAGGATAAAAATATGCTGTATTACTTACCCGAGGTACCTAGTCGGTGGCCTAGAATGAGACAAATCGAGTGCACAAGTGAGTGTGCAAGTGAAACGGCCTCGTTGTCTGGAATCGTGGTCTCACGGCTGGGGTGATACTTGGAATCGTGGTCTCACGGCTGAGGTGGTACCTGGAATGTGGTCTCACGGCTGAGGAACTAAGGACACAGACACACAGGAGTGAGGCTGAGAGCGGCAGTTTAACAGGTGAAAGAAGGAGGACAGCTCCCTGAGGGAGAGAAGGGTCCCGAAGAAATGAGTTGCTGGATCCGTGGTGAAATGCAGGCGGTTTTACAGATGCCTGGTGAGGGGGTGATATTTGACATACACAGAGCGCAAAGGATTGGTTGGACCAGGTGTGGCATTTGCACAGGGTGTGAAAAACTGGTAAGGACTAGACGTGCTATTTGCACAGGGTGGGAATTTTGGGCCACCCTCAACCTAACCATTTATTGTGCAGGCGGGTCCTCTGCCTGGGCAGCACCATCCTGCCCGTTTCTTTATGTATAGGTGGTGACAAGAAAAGGGAAGATGGAGCCTCCACGTTGGATATGCCTGACCCCCAGGTAGCCCTTTCTATTGGCGCAGCTGCCGGCATCCCCCGTGCAAGCTCCCACCTCGCTTGTCTATGTTGGGAGCTCAACTTTTCAGGCTGCTCTTTGTTTGAAAAAAAAAAAATTTCTTGGGCTGCTTTTTGTTGAAAGGGAAGCTCTGCCAAAGACAGTTTTACCCTCACTATCTGCCTAAATAATTTCTTTCTGCCTCCTGTATCACAAGGCAGCTCCACGTCTCTTTATGTCCCAGTGCCCAGAATGGTGCTGGCAAATGGGGAGATGCTTGAAAAATATCTGTTCAGCAAATTAGCAATTTAATATAAGGGGCATAATATGGAAAAATAAGTGTTTCGGGGCCGCTAAGGGGTACAGGGGCCACGGGAAACTTCTCCTTCGCCCTCTGAAGGTTTGCTGAAAATTGACTGGCAGGAGACAGATTAACTGGGGAAGAGGTACACACATTTTTAACGTGCATGGGGAGGATCACAGAGTGATTACAGAGGGTACAGAGGCTTATAAACCCTTTTCACAGAGGACGGAGGAGACGGGGACGCAGACAATGCTGTTCGGGAGCAGTAATGATCATTAGGAAGAGTCTGTGTGGAATTCAGAGACAGAAATTAACTTGTAAACAATACGTTTTGGAATCTGAACGACCCCAAGAGGCAGGCATTATCTCGTGAAAAAGACCATCCAGGTGGTAGCATTTCTGTCTGAAATGAGATTTCAGGAATGGACTAGATGGCAATTGTGGGTTTTTTGATAAGAAGATTTCTTAGGTAAGGAAATTACAGAGAGAGAGTCCCTTCCTGCCCCAGAACAGTTTTAGGGGGACCCTGATTCTGAGGCTCGTTTATGAGGTGTTTTAATGTTTGACAGCACTCACCATGCCCAGGTGTCATGTATCAGGGAACCATTCTGCACCCCAAAAGTCCTCTGTCTATAATGTCCCTCGAAGTTCACACACTAAAAGCTAAGCTGTTGGGTGTGAAGATAATATTTGAGTTAATAGCTGAGAAGCAAAAATTGTCATTAAACTGGTGTTCTATTTCTAGGAGTAGCCCAGTCCAATTAAACAGCTGTGTCTCGTTTCAGGAAATGGCATTGCAGATGGGCTCCAAAACAGCAGAAAAACAAAGGTTAACATTTGGAGCAGTCTATAAACGGATTTCTTCAGAGTCTGGAAAGCAGTCAGTTGAGGTATCCAGCTGTTCAACTGAGGCCTCTTTAGTTACGGCGGAAGTAGACGCTGGTGATCTGACAGATTTTGTGGTTTGTAGTTTCTATGTCACAAGGTTAGATACGCATAAACTTCAGCTTGCAAGGCCTCAGTAAAAAGGTATTATCAATTTCAGTGAGTTTAAAAAAATGGGGGAAAATTTTGACTGAAGACCTGTAACCAGAAAAAAAAATTTAGGATTTAGTTTAAATTGTAGGCAAATCATAAAACTGAAAAAATAAAAATGGTCAGGGCTAGAATCTGATAACAAGTATACTATAGTTTTCTTCTGAAACATAAATTTTCTTTTCCAGTCCCACATTTAATTTAAGCAAAGATAAATGTAAGCAAAGAAAAAATAAATGTGAAAGAAAAATAAATCTTGGGACTCCAAAATCACTAAGCCAAAGGGAAAAATCAAGCTGGGACGTTTGTCATGCAAACCTGCCTCCCAGTCTCTATAGTCTATTCCTCAGTAAGATAGCTACAAAACTTTTGAAAAGCTACCGCATACCTCCCTCACAATTTGCCCACAAGGAAATTCCTTGTAGACAAAGCACAAGCAGATGTCAGAGTCGTCCTCTGCTCACGTGAGACGCGCACAGCTGACTGCGTCCTCTGCTCTGCCGCTTCACTAAGCCCGACCAAGGCATAAGTAACTATTTCTGTAAATTGCGTATTCAGTAAAAGCCTAATCAGAAACTCAAAAGAATGCAACCATTTGTCTCTTTTCTACCCCTGACCTGGAACCCCCTTTTGGTTTTAAGTTGTCCCTCTTTTCTGGACTGAACCAATGTACACGGCACATACACTGATTGATGTCTCATGTCTCCCTAAAATGTGTAAAACCAAACTGTGCCCCAACCACCTTGGGCACGTGTCATCAAGATCTCCTGAGGCTGTGCCACTGGCATGTCCTCAACCTTGGCAAAATAAACTTTTTAAATTGATTCAAAATTGGCTCCAGTACTTTTTGGTTTACAGTAGGACCAGTTTATTGCAAAATAAAGTTTAGACTTGTTTTACTTGGCCTGGTTATTTGACTAAAGTACAGCCAGGGTAGTACTTGGCCACGTAAGTGCTTTTTAAATTGACTTGACTGAAACTTTCTTTTATAATGAATTTCAGGTTCAATCTTTAAAAGCCTCTTAAGATCGGAAGCCAGGCTGACAATTCGCCATCAGATTTGCCTGTATACTTGTACGAAGTGGTAAATCCCTCTTTTTTTGAGGTCCCCAAAATATCCTGAAGTTCCTGGGCTTGTCAGAAGTGACATTCTTTCCTTACTGCAAGGCTACAAACCTTGTAATACGGTTGGGCCCTGTGTCCCCACCCAAATCTCATCTTGAACTGTACTCCCTTAATTCCCGTATGTTGAGGGCTGGGGGGACTGGGTGGGAGATAATTTGAATCATGGGAGCGGTTTCCCCCATACTGTTCTCATGGTAGCGAATAAGTCTCACAAAAATCTGAGGATTTTGTCAGGGGTTTTTGCTTTTTCATCGCCTCATTTATTCTTGGTGCCACCATGTAAGAAGTGCTTTGGCCTCCTGCATGATTTCTGAGGCCTCCTCCAGCCACGTGGAGCTGTGAGTCCAATTAAACTTCGTTTTCTTCCTAGTTGCAGGTGTGTTTTTCAGCAGCATAAAAATGGACTCATACACCTTGTAGGAGAACCATGGAGACGACGTATCAGGCCAGTTCTTCCAAAGGTTTAACAGCTTCTTCGTTCCTCAAAGCAATCTGGTCAATCTGAAAATATGATGACATCTCAGTCAAAGCTTTGGTAATGGAAACTATAATCACAAAGACAGCAAATTCTCATTGAAGTTACGCTGACACTATATTGACGTAAAATACAAAGACCCACAAAATGTTTTCAAATTCCGTAGAGATCAGGCAGAAAGAAAGGTGAATGTTCCCATTTCACTCACAGCAACACGTTTTACCCGTTGCTGTAAACTGTAACTCACAGCAACACGTTTTACCCGTTGCTGTAAACTGTAACTCACAGCAACACGTTTTACCCGTTGCTGTAAATAGCTTAAAAGAAAAAAAAGTTGTCTTGACTCTGAAAAGCAAAAATAAAAAGAATCAGCAATATTTCAAATAAAAAGAAGTCATAAAAATTGTTTTGGTCTTTCATCAGTTCAGTCTCATGTAATTAATTTATTCTACTTGATGTTGGGTTAGTAATCTTCATGGACTCATTATTTGTTTATTCGAGTTTTGTAAGTTTTTTACCGAATCCAATGCTATAATCTCCAAAATTATAAAAAAATCTACATTCAAGAGTACTTGTTATGGTCTTTTTCACGAATGTCCTTGTAGAAGAAGTAATTTTGGCTGTAGGCTACTATGAACCACTTTTTGAATCAAAGTAAAGTGATATTGTCTATGAATGACAAAAGACTTAGAAGAGCCGTGGTTAAAGACACATTTGACAAGGAAATTTGATTATTTCTATGGCTAAAAATATTTATGAACATCAAGTGACATTCCCCTCCACTGTTTCAGTGGTTATTTACAGAATACAGTCTGAAGTTATCTCCTGGGCTCTGACGGCCAGCCCTTTGCTCGGAAGTGGCAACGTGGGGCAGGACTGAGTGATCCTTCTCTGGAACCTGCATCTGTAATGGTGAATAGAATACGTGACAGAACAAAACCTGGAGGCAAATGGAAAGAGAGCGGGGTGAAGGTGAGAGCAAGGAGTGGATGAGACAATGTGAGACAACAGGTGCAGGGGGCAGGGGATGAACTGGGTTGACAGGTACTAGTGTGAAGTTCTGGAGCCTCTTTAGCTCTTAGGTGAAGGGCAGCAAGTCAAACATTAAGGTGGCTGGGCACGGTGGCTCATGCCTGTAATCACTTTGGGAAGCCAAGGCGGGTGCATCGCTTGAGGTCAGGAGTTCGAGACCAGCCTGGCCAACATGGGGGACACCCCCATCTCCACTAAAAATACCAAAATTAGCCAGGCATGGTGATACGCACCTGTAGTCCTGGCTACTTGGGAGGCTTGAGCCTGGGAGGCAGAGGTTGCAGTGAGTCGAGATGGTGCCACTGCACTCCAGCCCGGGCGACAGAGTGAGACTCCGTCTCAAAATAATAATAATAATAAAATAAGGTGAATCTAATTTCAAAATTTTACTTCCCCAATGAAGCATACTCACATCACCAATTTTTCCTCATTTTTCATTTTCCTTCTCAAAATTCCCCTTTCATACAATATACTAAAATAGAATAGTTATTTGTATGAATTCTGAAATTAGAGCTCCTGGGATTAATCCCTGCTTATTTCATTATGATATGTCTAACCTGAGGTCGTTGGCCTAAATTATCCAATCTGTTTTTTTTTTTTTTTTTTTTTTTTGAGACGGAGTCTCGCTCTGTGGCCCAGGCTGGAGTGCAGTGGTCGGATCTCAGCTCACTGCAAGCTCCGCCTCCCGGGTTTACGCCATTCTCCTGCCTCAGCCTCCCGAGTAGCTGGGACTACAGGCGCCGCCACCTCGCCCGGCTAGGTTTTTGTATTTTTTAGTAAAGACGGGGTTTCACCGTGTTAGCCAGGATGGTCTCGATCTCCTGACCTCGTGATCCGCCCGTCTTGGCCTCCCAAAGTGCTGGGATTACAGGCTTGAGCCACCGCGCCCGGCCCAATCTGTTTTTTTTTTTTTCAGTTGTAAGTATTTCCTCCTATTGTTGTTAAAATAATTTGAAATAATGCACATACAGATTTAGAACATCAGTAGGCCTATAACACTCCATAGATGACTGCTGCTATTATTGTTACTATGATTATAATTATCTCTAATCACAGGGCCCCTCATGAGGCTCTTTTGGGTTTTCCAGTGAATGGGAAAGTGTGTGAAGGTTGTGAGGACTTATCTCAAGCCAGCAGGTCCTGTGCGGTTTTGAAGGCTGCTGGTGACCCGGTTATTTTGTCAGTAATTTTAATTCCAGGTATTTCTCTTTCTTCTGTGCACAAAACCACCCACCTCCTGTGGGATCACAGCAAGGCAAATGTGAGAATAACAGGCTGAAAACTTCTCTGTAGCCAACATAGTCGTTTTCCTTTTCTAGATATTTCCTGAGCTCAAAATGAAGGCGTTAGGGAATTTCTCAGACTCTTTTACTTATATTGTTTTACTAACAAGCTTGTGAATTAAGTAGAACAAATAAATTTTTTAAGTGAGGAAACCAGTGCACACAGAAGCTAGATGTATTGGAAGAATTTAATTTCACTCATTTGTTTAAAGGACGTAAAATCATCTAGACACAGATTCCGTATCTGCCCTCTCTGAACAGTCCAGGTCCTAGAGCAGGACGTTTTATCTCACTGGTGCAGTGAAATTATCTTGAAAGCACTGTGTATTCTGCAGAAGGGGGCAAGAATTCTATACACGAGAATCTCCTCCTGAAATTCAAAGGAGCTTTTTTTCTCAACATTGAGGCATGGCCAGAGCACCTTCCTGATAACTGGACTGAGCTTCAAGCTAAAGCCCAGCGGGAGGCTGAAGAAAAATGAGGGACTCAACGATGCCTGCTGGGCAGGTGCCTTCTCTCCTGGCTCCTCTCCCACTCTCTCCTTCCCTCCAGCTTTCAGCGCCCAGACAGGGCCCGGCCGGCTCAGTCCCCAAGTTTTCTGAGGGTCAAGAGTAAAGGGGCTCAGGTGAAAGGTGCCTCTGCAGGATCAGCCCCTCTCCAGGTGGCGGCAGCAGACTGGTGAATCCTCCTAACAATGCGCTCAGACAGGTGGACACGTTAACGACTCTGCCCAGATTTGTGGCTGACACCTGGCAGAGGAAGAGAGAATGATTAGAGGTCCCTGTCGCAGGGAGAAATCATGCACATGGCCAGAGGGGCAGCTGGTTCAACTAGACCAGACCGTAAGCCTGTCACAGGGATTAGTGGCTCCTTGGGGATGGCATGTGATTGGCAGCTACTGGGGGGAGAGCAGAGGAAAGCAGGGGGAGGTCGTGCAGAGCTGCAGAGAGAAAACGTCCAGGCACCGCTGTGCTCTGTAGCAGGCCCCACTGTGCTCACAGCACTCCCCTCAGGAAGGCTAGGCTGGTTACGCTGTCAAGAGAGTGGCTTTGGCTTTTTGGGTTTCTAGGGAGAGAAAATCCTCCACCATTTGCAGAATCTATTAATCTGCTTCAAACAGGTGACATTTGCTATTAGCGGCAGACGATAAAGGGTGGATTCTCAGTCTCAGTAATGGCTCTCCCGGAGGAAATTCGCCTCCTTCTCTGGGAATCTAGGCTGGTAATACTGGGCAGCCTGAAGTACTTGTCAAGTCTCTCCCACAAAGTGAGACTGTATGCGGATAGGTGGAGGACATGGGAAACTTGGGGACTGCAAAAGGGGAAAACCGAGAATGTGAGGAGGAGTGGGACCATCACACATGAGGAGGGCTTCCCTGGCTCAGGCCACGGCTCCACGACTGCATAACCTTGGACAGTTATGTAACACCTCAGTGCCTTGGTTGCCTCATCTTTGAAACATAGACATAATATGCTTGTGGTTGTGAAGACGTAACGACATGAGTGGACTGGAGTATGTACCTAATGCACACTCAACAATGTCTAACTATTTAATGGGAGAAAGATGCTGCCTGTATATTTTAGGATGGAAGAATAAGACAAAAAATTCACAAAAGGTAGCTCCATACCCCAACCCCACTTAAGACGTTGAAATATTAATAGTTCCTGTCTAACGGTTTTATTTTCCAGTGAGCTGTCACCTCAGTTTGTCTGACAATTCTGGGGATGTGATGGGGATACAAAGGGACGAAAAAAGAGAATGCATGACATAGATGTTTAGGAAAGTGGAAAAGTGAACATATTTGAGAAACATATTTGACTAAGCAGTGTTGGGGTAGAAATCATGAATATATGATGATACCAAAAGTATAGCGAGACAGAAGGGCATGGTTGGTCTCCTCCAAGGTTGGTGTTTGGCAAAATGACTACAATGGAGTAAGAATGGGGCAAAGAAGTTGAATTTACATGTAAGGACCACAGATTTAAGGTACTTAGTGAAGAAAATGAACTCCAACGAGACTGGATGGGTGGATGAATGGATGGATGAACAGATGGATGGATGGATGGATGGATGGATGGACAGTTGGATGGATGGATAAATGAATGGATGGATGGGTGGATGAATAGATGGATGGATGAATGGGTGAACACATGGACAAATGAATGGATGGATGGATAGATAGGTGGCTGGATGGATGGAGGGATGGGTGGATGGATGGATGGATGGATAGATAGTCGGACGGATGGATAAATGGATGGATGAATGAATAGATGGATGGATGAATGGGTGAACACATGGACGAATGAATGGATAGATGGATAGATAGGTGGATGGATGGATGGATGGATGGATGGATAAATGGATGGATGGATGGATGAATAGATGGATGGATGAATGGGTGAACACATGGACGAATGAATGGATGGACGGATAGATAGGTGGATGGATGGCTGGCTGGCTGGCTGGATGGATGGATGGATGGACAGATAGTTGGATGGATGGATAAATGGATGGAAGGAGAATAGATGGATGGATGAATGGGTGAACTCATGGACAAATGAATGGATGGATGGATGGATAGGTGGATGGATGGATGGGTGGGTGGGTGGATGGATGGATGGATGGATGGGTGGATGGATGGATGGATGGATGGATAGATAGGTGGATGGATGGATGGGTGGATGGATGGATGGATGGATGGATGGATGGATAGATAGGTGGATGGATGGATGGGTGGGTGGGTGGATGGATGGATAGATGGATGGATGGGTGGATGGATGGATGGATGGATAGGTGGATGGATGGATGGGTGGATGGGTGGATGGATAGATAGGTGGATGGATGGATGGGTGGATGGGTGGATGGATGGATAGATGGATGGATGGATGGATGGACGGATAAGTGGATGGATGGATGGGTGGATGGGTGGATGGATGGATGGATGGATGGATGGATGGATGGATGGATGGATAGATAGGTAGATGGATGGATGGGTGGGTGGGTGGATGGATGGATAGGTGGATGGATGGATGGGTGGATGGGTGGATGGATAGATAGGTGGATGGATGGATGGGTGGATGGGTGGATGGATGGATAGATAGGTGGATGGATGGATGGGTGGATGGGTGGATGGATGGATGGATGGATGGATGGATGGATGGATGGATAGATAGGTAGATGGATGGATGGGTGGGTGGGTGGATGGATGGATAGATGGATGGATGGATGGATGGACGGATAAGTGGATGGATGGATGGGTGGATGGGTGGATGGATGGATGGATGAATAAATGGATGGATGGATGGATGGATGAATAGAAGGATCTCTAGGTTCCTCTTCAGAGCTCACGTGATGTAAATGCTATGTCGATAGTTGTCATGCTGTATTTTAAAATTTGTGTCTATTTTTTTCACAGAGACAAGGTCTCACTCAGAATCTTATTCTGTCTCTCCGTAGGCTTGAGCTCCTGGGCTCAAGCGATCCTCCTGCCTCAGCCTCTCAAGTAGATGGAACCACACGTGTGAGCCGTAGCACCTGGCTGGT